TTTGTTTATGGCAGTGTTTGGAAGGAATGTGTGTAGAGTGTGGTCTTCTCACTGATCGCTATCTCCCAAATGGAGTTTTAATAATGCTTCCATCAATGGGAACGACACCGGACAACTTCGAAGGAGATTAAATGCCGAATCTTGAACTCTCCTACCCTACCATTTTTCAACATAGGACTCCATTAACACAGAAGGAAATATCGACGAGCAACGGATTCTGCCAACGACGATATATATATATATATATATATATATATATATATATATATATATATGTGTGTGTGTGTTTTTGTGCGTGCGTGTATGTGTGTGTGTGTGTGTTGTGGATTCCGGGATGAAATCCGGTACCAATAAATAACAAACGCCAAGAAGGAATATAGGAAAATAAATGTATTAATGTAATAATATAAACTGGTAATGCAGGTTAGTAGTTCCAGGAATGAGGGTTAGTAGCAAAATATATATACAGTCTTTGGTATCGACGTATCACTGTATGACTTCTTACTGAGTCTACGCGCATGCTCACTGCGACTCTTGCTCCTTACGTTCGTTCTGGTTAGTCGCTCTTTCTCGTTCTTCTCCCGGGTATTCACTAGCAGTAGTATATGTATACCCTGGGTGAGTCCATTTTGTCAAAAGGGAGAACCCTAAACAATATATATATATATATATATATATATATATATATATATATATATATATATATATATATATAAAAAGAAGAGTAAGTGCTGCAAACGTTTTTTTTTGTAATGTGGATTTATTTAGAAAAAAAAATATTATGCTTTGTTTTACATAATTGTACTACACGTTTCTGGTCTCGTGACAGTCTTCAGGTAAAAGTGGAGATTTCCACATATTACTAAAAATAATTAATTTTTTCTTTTGTTTTTTAATGTTAAATATTCTCGATACGAGACATTTTCTGTGTTAGTAATCCGAATTTCTTTCTTGAATTGGCAATGTGCGTATGTGTGTGTATGCGTGTATATGTACAAATGAGTTTACTAATTCCTCGTAGTAAGACAATATATGTATGGAGGGGGAATATACGCACGCATATATACACGCATGCTGACAGAAACACACAAAAATGGAAACAGATCCAAGAACACATAGGGGTCAGTAAAACATTAAAAGATAAAATGCCGATAAGCAATTCATCATTCCGCTTGGACCAACCTTAATTGTTTTATGACCCTTCGCGCAGAACTCTTCATTGCCAATTCAAGAAAGAAATTCGGATTACTAACACAGAAAATGTCTCATATCGAGAATATTTAACATTGAAAAACAAAAGAAAAAATTAATTATTTTTAATAATATGTGGAAATCTCCACTTTTACCTGAAGACGGTCACGAGACCAGAAACACGTGTAGTACAATTTTGTAAAACAAAGCATAATATTTTTTTCTAAATAAATCCACATTACAACCAAAAACGTTTGCGGCACCTCTCTTCTCTTCTTTTTAATCTACATACTTTTCTTTCGTTGGAACCACTACAACCTCTTTCTTTTATATTATATATATATATATATATATATATATATATATATATATATATATATATATATATATATAATACTTCTCGTTTTCACGTTTTGCGTGGTCATGTATGACATCATGACCTGCGGTGCGATTTTCCTTTCCAGCGTCTCATATGCACGAGTTTGTCGTTGCTTGGAAATCTTCCATGTAACCAAAAACAGATTATCGTTATTGTTTTGTCCGTGTATTGTTTATATATATATATATATATATATATATATATATATATATATATATATATATATATATATATATAAATTCCCTGTGAACAGTGGCTAACCGGATCTACTGGTAATATTATTTATAAGTATTTAATTCGTGTCCGTTACTAAATCGTCACACTCCAAAACGACTTTATATTAGAGGCCCAAATTACCTTTCCTTTACGTTTTATTTAAATGTAAACATAATGATAGTTTGTTTTTTTTACTATTTTTTCTAATTTTTTATTGCATTTCTTTTGTTTTTAATAGACACATATGTACGAACTGAAAAAGAATGGTTTATGCACCCAGAATCAGATAAAGGAATCAAAACACGTTTTAATGGTACCCACGAAACGACAAAGTCTCGAATATTTAACGAGGAGAATATCATGAAAGAGAATTATCCTTTCTCAAGCGGAAAACGTCCAGGTCAGTTCGCTTCTACAGTGTCTTAGTGATACCATTAAAAAGAGATGGTTCATCATATTAATAGAAGTTAAAAGTCTTTGAAAAACGATTAAAAATGTCAAACTGGCAAGAATTCTAATTAAAGATTCATATTTTTGTAATCTTTTCTCCCCAATAAAGTCACTAAGACGCAAGTGGTTACTGAGTGTTAGAGAATACGAGAAAAAAAAAACTACTATTAAGAAGAAAGGGCAATAAAAGAAAAAGAATTAAGACGACAGAAGACGTCGATTAACACTGCATTTAAATTTTTGAAGATTAAAGATGACTGGGAAGTGAGAAGCCGGAAGAGAACTCAACAAGCGAGAAGTGCGTATAGGTGAAAGTGTTAGCATAGAAATTACGGTTACATCTCGCCATTTTATCTGTAAAAAGATGAGAGATTGCCGCCAATCTCGTATTATGTTAAAATTTATAAAATTCAGGTAGCATAGTGGAAAGCTCACCCGAAGAATTACTATGAAAGTTTTTATAGAAAAGTTACTGGGACACTTTATGGTGGTAGGAAATCCGAGATGACAGGTTAAGACAAATAACGCCGTATATTCTTATTTGGATTTTATGAATAATCTTTAAATATATATATATATATATATAACAGAAGCACCAGACTAGATGTGGCAGCAATATTCAAATCAATGGTGAATGGTAGACTTATAAATGTGTAAGATAAAAAATATAAGCGTGCCTGCTTTAGTGGCCTTTATAGTGGAGCTGATAATCGTTATCAAGATCAGACAATGTCATATTTTTGGGGAATATAACTCACTCGTAGCGGTTATTACATTATGCGTTTGTTTAGACGACTCGGTGTGACGTCATAAGAATTCTCTCCACCTGATTCCAACAGACGATATTTATTGTACAAATATGGCACAAAGCTAAGAAAATGGGGGACGGAGAAGGTTGGTCTTCGTCTGTCTTTTCTTAAACTTAGCTAGGTACAATCACTAACAAAAACAAACTATACAATATTACTTGCACCAAAATATCAGATTATTACTTACCATTCTTACTAGAACCACCATAATACTTCAAAGTCTCTATGAAGTCGTAACTAATCCCCATATGTACAATTTGTCTGTGGGAGTGGGGAATAGAATAACAACATTTAAAAATGAAAATACCCAATAAATGTTTCCAATATGCATAATACTATATATACAAGAAACTAAAACATATGGCGTTAGTAATAAAATAAAACCCACAATCCTTAATTGTAGCAGAAATATCAGTTAACTGGGAAGAGTTAAACGGAAACCACACACACATCTGCACACTCATTCAGACACGACAACAATTATGAAAGAACACACTCGAAAAACGAAAAGTGTCCCACACCCACTAGAGAACTGACATTTCTGGTCACCTAACGGGGAGAAAGTGGGGAATTAAACTAAAGAAAGTGGGGACAAAAATAAAAAAAGGGCCAATGAGCATACATCCCCGTGCTATGTTAACTAGGCGTAGAAAAAACAAAATAAGCCTAAACTATCCTATTTTGGGCGGGGTTGCCAATGTTTAATACAGGGCTCCCCATATCCTGATGCTTAACAGGCATCAAAATGCTACTCTAAGTCAGCTCCTTTCACTCGACAGACACGGACAAGACTCACCCACCTTTTGTCAAATTCTAATGGAGAGAGTCGTTGCTTTTCCGTCCTGATCTTGACTTTAAGCTGATGCTTAAAGAACAAGATCAACTGGGAAGAGGTAAACTTCTTGCCTCCCTAGAATCCTTCTATCGCGTTGTCCATGTCACGACTCGTAAGAGTAAGAACCCATGGTGCTCAGTCTTTGTAAACAACGTTACCCCACCCATTGCTACAAACAGAACTGGCCTCAAGGACAAAGAATTTCCCGTGCAGCATGCGAAACATGATACCTTCAATAAACTTGCATAACGGGACTACGACCTTGCAGTGGAAAAAGACGTGATCCAAGGTCTCCACTGACTCACCGCAGCGAACGCAGACGGGAGAATTTCCCAAGTCCGCTGAAGAAAGTTTTTTTACCTACCCAGAGGGTTTTCGTATCACCTACCAGGTGAGTGATGCCTCATTGTTAGTGAGGCATTTCAGACCAAGGCCATATGAAGCAACCCACCTGTTTCGTTAAACCGAGCTCGCCAATCAATCTTGAACGGATCCCCTCACTGACACCTGATATAATACCTTACGGGACAACGCCTGGACGCCAGGGAGGCTATCCGTCACCTGTAAGAGGAACTTGAGAACTAACCGGGCATTCAAACTAGCTAACCAGAGTGCCATTATCAGTCAGGTAGGGGATCTGCATTAAACATGACCGGAGTGAGGACACCGACGGCCTGTCCTATTGACTCATGGTCCATCTCACTCTTGATGGTGCCATCAAAAGACTAGCCACAAATGTCCCAGGGGAATGTAAACTTTAGTGTTCTGTAAAGGGAGGAGGATCAAAAAAGCGAACAAAATTGATTTAACTTTTTGATATTGTCGTCATCAAAAAACGCCAACGGCGGGAACGTGGAGAATGAATCGTTTTCTTGTAACATCACCCAAAATCTTTTGAGATCTCTGTCCAGGCCTTACTACGGTTAAAGAACCCTTTGCTTTTGGTAAATCTTTAGGCTCTTCCGTTGATTTCTTTAATGTTTAGCAGAATTTTCAAGTCTTTAATTTTCCTTGACCGTGTAATTGTTTTATCTGCCTGCTAGGGTGTCACTCGGCACACGTCCCTTCAGTTATTGTAGGGGGAGGGTTGGATTTTATCTTTTTTTTTTCTGTGTTGGCGATGCTTTTCTTGGCTGATGTGCTGCGTTGTCTTTTCGGTTTTTCCAATTTCTTGGGTGAGGTCATGGGTGAAGTTAATGTATTGGGAGGGGATACAGGATAATGCGTTTTTTTGTTGTTAGAGATGGGACCCCTTTTGAGGGTGGTCATTTTGGTTGGGGTGAGAGTTAATGATTTGGTCATGGGTTAGGCAGCCATGATCTGCTTTTTCATCGATGGGGATGACTGTACTGAGGAAGAAAGGCCATTTTTTCCAGATATTTCTGATGATCTTTTATTCCTGATCGATTCCTTTAGTTGCTCCAATCATTAAAACTTCTCGAAGCTGGGCTCGTATCGGTGTCTTTGTTGTCGGATCTTTTCCGTATATGTGGCCGAGGCATCGCCCTTGGAACGGGTAGAGGGAGTGGAGCTGTTTGTACCTTTTTCCGTGGTGGTTTCTGGGGACAGAGGTCCCGCAGTCTGGATTTTCCCTTTGGTCTTACCAACGACATGCCATTCACACCTTCACCAAGCGGCGGACAAAGGCTTTTCGGAGATTGGTGGCCGCGAAATGGAACCAAGCGGGGGTTTTACCACACCGGTCCTGGTCGCTGGCATGCTCATTACAGGCGTGAGGGAAATAACAGATTCGGCGAAAGGGGTATTTTGATCGGCGGGGCCCAGACCTTTAGAGGCCTTCTTAGCAAGTTGGTTTATGGCCGGTCACAATGACTCGCATTTTCTGAGATATAGAACAATGAAGAAGAAATTTACAAAGACAATTAAACAAAAAGACCGACCTAAGCAGGTTTAACAAAAGGGTTTTGACGGAAAAAAAAAACAAACAACAAAAAAAAAAAAACGTTTCGCAAATTAAAACAAAGTTCTTTTCGAAAAGGAACATCAATTTAACAATCAACAAAGAGAACAAAGCGACAGACGAAAAAAGAAAACGTTTCACGTGAAAAATAAAAAGAATAAATTTACTGAAAAACACTCAATTAAAAAGGTTTTCCTTTTTTTTTTTAATTAAACCGGCAAAATAAACAAATAATGAAATAAATACTACAAAAGAAAAATTGTAAAAATACCAATTAAACAAAATGGCCGACTAACACGAAAATAAAATAAAAACAAAGTTGACTTGCAGCTGAGTGGAGACGAGTAAAAATTAACTTTAGGGCACAAAAAAAAAGAAGTAAAAAAAGTAGTTAACGCTTCTTTTTTGATTTGGCTGTAGTTTTTTTTTTCCATCGGGAGTAGTGAACGCGAAGTATGTGCAACGACTTTCAAGTCATCATATTTATGTACAATTACTGCTCCTATACTAGAGACACTAGCATCTAAAGCCAATAAGATTTCTGCTTTTGTATTGTAGTGCGTTAATAATAAATATGACTTTAGTATTTTCTTGATTTCTTCAAACACCTTTTGACACTTATCAGTCCAGTTCCACTTTACGCCCTTTTTAAGCAAATTGTTCAATGGAGCTGTTAAATTCTGCATATTAGGTATATAGACTTGATAATAGTTTCCTATTCCCAGAAATGCTTGTAACTTAGTAACGTTGTACTTGCCATCGACGGATCTGGTTGAAGGCCAATTTTGTCAATGATTGTTCTTAGGTACTTGATTTTAGGCAAAAACAATTTGACTTTTCCTCCTTGAGTTTGAACTCGCATTCTCGTATTTTTTCAAAAACTCTTTTCACATGCTCGATATGTTGTTCCTTAGATACACTTTTAATTAATATACCATCCAGATAAGCAACTGCGAAATTACAATCTGCAAGCATAGTATCCATAGCTTAGTGAAATATAACTGGAGCCACTTTTATCCCAAAAGGAAGTGGGTTGAATTTATACAGTCTCTTGTGGGTATTTAAAGTTATTAACTCTGAACATTCTTCTTCAACCTGTATTTGTAAATACGCTTCGGAAAGATCCAAATCCGAAATTTTTTTCCATCGTTTAAATTCGCAAAAATTTCCTCTGGACTTGGTAATGGATAGTTATGGGATTCTAAACATTTGTTTAACCCTGTCGAAAAATCAACACAAACACGAATTTTTATTATTATTTTTTTCTTTACTGCTGGTTCTACCCATTTTGAATGGTCAATCTTTTCAATTACACCTATTTTTCTTTTCAAGTCTGTCTAATTCGTTGACTTGATCCAATACTGCGAACGGTATACTACGTTTCGGTTTAAACAATGGCGTTAACTCTTTTTTCACTTAGAATTTCGATTTGACTTTGGAACACCGACGTAACTCATCCGACAGAACATTCGAAAATATTTTTCAATTCTTCCTTTAAATTTTTACATTTTCTTTTTTTTAACTGGTGGCTTGTCCACTTACATGTTTTACAATAAATATTCATAGGTAAATCTCACAACTCAAATATTTACATCCAGTCAGCACCGAATAAGTTTGTAGTATTTTTACACACTTGTTACGAATTGAAGTTATTTCACCATTAAAAAATAATTTCCTACTGGACACGCTACGTGATATTTTCGAAGTTCTTTTTTGATGTCGGTTTTCTGTTTGCTTTCCATGTGACATTGCTGATTATTGTGATAACACTACTAATGTCTAGTTGCATTTTTACATCCACATTATTTATTTTCCCATACACAAATCTTCTTTGGTTTTCTGCAATTACTTTTTCCGTCTCAACGCTGTGTACGAAATTTTTCTGTGTGAACTTTTCCTTGCTTAACAATGTAACTTTTATGTCGTACTATTCCACACTTGTAACAGTCGTCTCCGAGATGTAACCTTCCACATCTGAAACATGGATGAATCCCCCCACCCCCATTTTTCTTTAGCTCGTATATATGCGCATTCTTTTTCTTCAAATTCATCCGTATCGCGTCTCAGATTTACCATTCTCTGACATTCGTCCGTTATTTCTTGTAGCGGAAGTTTTTGATTCTGTCCAAGTTTCGCTATAATTCTAGTACGTATTTCTGCGTATTTTTTTCGCTTGAACGAAAATGAATCTTTTAAACATATCCAGAGACAGTTCGTTTTATTTGAATCTTTCACATTCCTTGTTAACGATTCCAGCATATGTGACAAAATCTTCGTCTTCTTTTTTCATCAGATTCATACACTTCCAACGAGTATAGAATAACAAACTTTCGCTAAAAAATTAGTCAGAATATTTACTGTTTCTCCTGGTTTTTTTTTTTTTCGGTAGAACAAAATTACAGTATTTTCATGTTCTACCGGTGTTAACTTTCTCAATAAAAGACTTTTTTTTTCGTTTTCCCAGTCGCTGCATTCTTCTCTGAAAATTTGCTCGCATCTTCTAAAATAAGCAGAAAAGTTAATTCTATCATCTGGCTTGTCTGGAAATTCAGTTATGGCATTTGCCAGCACGAGAAGTGAAAGAACTTGATGAATTTTCCGTTTTGTACCGTATTATTTCCATTAAATGTTGTTGTTGTTTCTGGAGTTCCAACAACTGTTGTTGTTGCTGTTGCTGTATTTTTACCACTTGGGCTAATAATTCTTCCATATTTGAAGAATATCTGTTTTGTCCCTTCTTTCTTTTTTTTCCTTTTTACAAACCGAAGAGAAAAAAAAAAAATCAACGTGGTTCTAATTTCTCGTCGTCACTGTTATGTGCGCCGAAGCAAAAAAGTACTTTTTCCTACTCAGTATGAGTTTCGGTTCCTTGTCGCCACTGTTATAACTCACTCCTAAACGGTTATAATATTATGTTTTTACTTAGGCTACTCGCCGTGACATCATTATAATGTTCTCCTGCTGACTCCAACGGACTTCTTCGGCTCACTTGGAGTTCTTTATTTAAGGCGTCTTACCTAGTTCATTTGTGTTACCGGGAGTGTTATTTACTCCACAACAATAATATATATATATATATATATATATATATATATATATATATATATATGAAAAGGTAATAAATCCGTTTGTATATAATCCAAGTGGATCCTAGTAATATAAAATATTAAAATTATGAGGTGATTTTGGATTTGATTGTATATATATATATATATATATATATATATATATATATATATATATATATAAGTATATATTAATAAAATAAGAATAAGCAGCCTCCAAAAGAGTGCACTCTTTTTTTCCTGTCTGCAGTCTTAAGCAGGCTCCTTATGGAGCTCTTCTCAGAGCTCGCTTCTGGCAAGAGACCATATGGAGCTCCACGTCGTCAATTCAAGTATCAGCTCAAAAACACATTGTCAGAAATCGATCCGGTCAGTTGGGATAGTAAAGCTGCAGAACGGACCAATTGGAGAAGAGCAGTCCACGAAAAAAAACAAGGTCCTTCAAAAACACCAGAAGACACATAGAAGAGACGAAGAGAGCCCAAAGAAAAGTCAGAGCTCCCCATTCCCTGAACCTTCCTGGTAATGCGGACGTTTCTTCAGATCCAACCTAGGATTAATTTCCCACAAGGAAATGTCGATGAGCACCCAGATACCGGCAAACGAATTCTGCCACTGACGAATTTTTTAAATTAGAGACTGAAATTTTTAAAATTAGAGACTGAAAGAAAATATAGGTTCCACAGAAATACCTCCCACATAATGGTAAGACAATGGCGTCTTTATCTAACAAATGTCTTACTATTATATGGGAGGTATTTTGTGGAGGTATTTCTGTAACCTGTATTTGCTGAAATATTACTTAGCTGTGGCAGTGTACCAAACAATCATTAGTCACCGTATAAGACTCTCTCCCTCTCTCTCTCTCTCTATATATATATATATATATATATATATATATTAATGAAAATTTTCTGGTTGGATAATTCTGTTTCTAATTGCGACAGCATGCCTTCAAGAAAATTGGTATTCCCAAGCAAATGACAATTTATTCTTGTATCTTTTTCAGTCCACGTGATTGATGAACGTAACGGATGGCGATTAAAGGTTCCTGGGGACAAGAGTTATTCAGCCCCTGAGTTTGAACCCCATTTCTATCGCGAAGGAGCTCCGGTATCGACATCAGTCTTTGGGTAAGTCGCTTTCCAATTATCTCCATCTGTCAACGCCGACAATGGATACAGCAGTCACTTTGCGGCGTATTAGGGTAGGTAGTAATGGAAGAGTGGACTGCTTTTGTGCTCATTTACCCTACTATTTATTTATTTTGCCTCTAATTGTGATATGTCAAGTAAAAGACCCTTGTCATGATGACTGACAACCAACCAGAATGCAGAGCGAGACAGACAGTCAGACACAGGCAGTTACATGTTTGTATGAATGGCCTTCAGCTGAAAGTGACACAATCACATGTAACTATAACTAGAATTGGTCAGTAGTAATATCGAAATTTTATATATTAGGCGTATTTAAAAGTTCCTTTTTATTTTTTAAATTAGAGACTGAAAGAAAATATAGGTTCCACAGAAATACCTCCCACATAATGATAAGACAATGGCGTCTTTATCTAACAAATGTCTTACTATTATATGGGAGCTATTTCTTGGAGGTATTTCTGTAACCTGTATTTGCTGAAATATTAATTAACTGTGGCAGTGTACCAAACAATCATTAGTCACCATATAAGACTCTCTCTCTCTCTCTCTCTCTCTATATATATATATATATATATATATATATATATATATATATATAAAAATAAAAACTGACCACTTTAAGGTCCCACGTAATAAATTATTTCACCACAGACCTTTTAAAAGGACTGCGGATCATCAGACATTACTTCCAAACAAAAAATGAAAAGAAAATTTACACATTTTTGACGGGCCGTATTAAACATGTAAATTAACAAAGTGAGGAAGTGAGGGGAGAGAGAGAAGACATGAGTGAGTTAGCAGATATTGACACATTTAAACGGTTAACTTAACGGAAGTTATATATTGATATCGAAGGGGTAGAGAAGAAAAAACCCATAGAGAGAAAAAGAGAGAAGGAAGTCATGAGAGAAGATGTCACTAATTTTCTTTGTAAAAAAAATGGCTAGAAACAGACGCTTTTATTTTGCTTTACTTTGAAAGTGTTATTTTGCGGGTTCATAAAGATTATAATGTTTGATATAAATTTGAATGTCTCTAAACTGTCTACAAATAATTTAATTTGATGTTTGTTAGTGATTTAAATTTTGGGGATTTTCTATGAAATAGTCGATTAGAAATCCAAACTCTATATACATACATACATATATATATATATATATATATATATATATATATATATATATATATATATATATATAGTGAAGAAATTTTGTGGATTTAGAATAATCATATATAGTAATTCATCGAGCCCAGGATAATCTTCAACAGAATACAGAAAGCACTGCACGGCCATTTCGTCCTATTTGGGACTCATCAGCAGTGCGCATCCACTACCGAGAATCGAACCCGGGCCGTTTCGATACACCGCAAACGTCATACCAACTGCCTCGGTGACGAAGAATGCACAAACTAGACTAGTATACGGATAACCTCGGCACAGTGTCCCAAGAGCCACGTATGTTTTTCTTTACCCTTAGCCGACCCAAGCTAATGCTCGCGAGGAGCGGCTAAGAGTCAAAAAAGCAGACGTGGCTCTTGGGGTGCAGTTCCGAGTTTATCTGCATACTTGGATGAGCATCACTGCTGAACTGAGTGAGTAGCGGCGCTATATCGAGTCTAGTTTGTGTCTCCTTTGTCACCGAGGCCCGTTGGTATAGTTGGTATGACGTTTGCGTTGTATCGAATCGGTCCGGGTTCGATTTTCGGTAGTGAATGAGCAGTGCTGATGAGTCTCAAATAGGACGTAAAGCTGTCCAGTGCTTTCTGCATTCTGTTGAAGATTATTCTATGCTCGATGAATTACTATATACGATTACTCTAAATCCTCCCTCCCCCAGTTTCTTCTTATATATATATATATATATATATATATATATATGTACACAGACATGACAGAATTGAATAGACGCTCACAGAAACCGTTTATTTTATTAAACAAGTAATTTATACAAATGAAGTAATTATAAATGGTCATAAATTTAATAACTAATACTTGGTTGACATCCGTTTTGCTTTTTTTAATGCAAGGACCCTTCTAAGCATACTAGCGATGAGTTCAAGAATATCATCTTGAGGGATTTCTTGCCATGTTTGACGCAATAATCCTAAAAGTTCCGGCTTATAAGATGGCTTCCTGTTCTTTTTGCGGATGTTTCGATCTAATATGGTGTTCAATAGGGTTAATATCCTGGGACTGACTTGGCCATGGAAGTTTATTGATCCCATTTTGTCTCAACCAATGTTGCGTTGCTTGAGCAGAGTGACATGGAGCTCCATCTTCCATAAATAGGGAGTCAACTTTGCTCATTCTACTTTCTACTCCTTGAGAATATTGGAAGGAGCCCTTTCTTTAATATAGAAACATATTTGGTTGAATTAATGTTTCCTTCATACTCCACAAGCCCTGAGCGACCATCATTCCAAATTGCACCCCATACCATTACTGAAAGGCCCCCATGTTTCACTGTTGGCTGCAGTCTTTTTAAATCAAACTCTTGACTACAGAGTCTCCATACCCATACTCTTCCACTGTCAGAAAAATAATACGAATCTTGGTGGTCCAAAAGATCATAGGTCATTCCACCATCTCATGAGCCCAATCCTTTCTGCGTTTGATATTGGCTGGACAGAGAAGTGGTTTCCTTCTTGCAGCTCTGCCATAGTAGCCCAGCTTGTGAAGATACCTGACAGCTGTTCTGGGACTGACATCAACTTGTGTTGCTATGTCAGAGGCCTTGCAACGTGGATCCTGTTCAACATTTCTTTCGACAAGACACATGGTTCTTTCAGAGGGCCCAGGGCGGCCTGGATGAGATTTTGTGCACTTCTTGCCCTTTCTGGTGAATTGAACGATCACTCTATTAACAGTAGAAAGGGGTATTGAAAGATTTTCAGATATTTTTCTTTGACTAAGAACAGCTTCATGTTGGCCCACAATACGTTCTCGCTGAAATTCGGATTTCTTTGGTTCGTGGCATGTTCCAATATTGTTATCTGCAATTTTAATCAAATAATCTAAGTTAATTTAACTTGGTTATTAAAAAATCAGAAATAAAATTTATCTTGGTGTCTATTCATTTCTGTCATGTTTGTATATATATATATATATATATATATATATATATATATATATATATATATATATATACTAGCTGAATTACCCGTTGCGTGTAACTAATTTTTTTGTAAGAAAATGATGATTGATTTTAAATCCTTGTTATAATTTATGGAGAAAAATGATGCATTTCAGTATTACTCAGTGATTTTACCGATATGACCTCCATCTTCTGGATTTCTCCTTCTATATTTTGAATAGGAGTCATTCCCTTGTTCAAATTTAAATTTAACTTAAATCTAAGGGAAAAAAAAGTGCAGGGTTTGAGCAAAAACAGCTTGATGCGTATTTGATGCAATACTTGATTGAATGAACTGATGGGCAGATTTTAACATAGATGTGACTTGAATTGTAGCAACAAATATGTATTGTAAGGCACTACCCACTGATTGATGATATTTTTGCTCAACTTGACGTTCATATTGTCTCATTTTGATCTTGCCAATGTGACATTCATCTTGCTTTCTTCTATATTTTGGATATGAGTCATTCCCTTGATCAAATTTAAATTTAATTTAAATCAAAGGGGAAAAAATTTTAGCGTGGGCGTGTGGCCTCCGGGAACTATATATCTTTATGAGGGATCTGTCTCCAAAATGTTAGATAACAGACAAACAGACAGATATATATAGATATATACATGCGATGGATAAATTGTCGTCTAAATTTCGCAGAAATGCAAATAACACTGACATCTCATTTTAACAGATATATCTACCAAAATTACAAAAAAAATTATCTTGAAATACTAAAGAGTAAATTTATTCAATAAAATCGCCATTGGTTTCAACAACGGCCTCCAGACAACTTCAGAATCTTTTGAAACTCTTCTGGACGGTTTACTTGTTTCAGTTGGTGAGTATTGTAAAGTTCCGTAAAATTGTTACAGGTCCTAACTTTGTAATTGGGTTTGGGTGGTATTCATACCAGTTTCTTACAGTTTCCTTTCCGTAAAAGTTGTAGTTTTTCCGCTGCAGATATAGGCCCACTCTGTCATGCCGGGTTTTATATTCAGTGGATGCCAATACCGAGCAACCTGATACAAGATGGACATTATTATTATTATTATTATTATTATTATTATTATTATTATTATTATTATTATCTTTGATTTCTGGCGTTTACACATTTCTTTCCGGGTTCCGCCCAGGGACCTAAGGTTAGAAATAGCATCATGACACTTTCCACTGACAAAAAAAAAAAAAAAAATATTACATAGATAAAGCCCTTCGTAAAGTGTGGGCTGTACTTGTGAGAATAATTTTTGTATCTCCTTGAGGCATGGACTTCCAGGAATCCCTTCAATTAGTCTACTGCAATCTTTTCCAACCAGGCCTAGGGCTCCAACTACAACAGGGATCGTTGATGTTCCCATATGCCACATTTTCGAGATTTCTTTATTATTATTATTATTATTATTATTATTATTATTATTATTATTCATTAGGAATTTCTATATAATTTGATACTTTCTACTTAATATTTTAAGTATTTTCAATATTGATTCTTGCAGTTTGAAAAAAGAAAGAGTCGACACATTCATACCACTTTTGGGAAATCAGGTGAAGTAAGTATATATTAATTATGTGCACACACAGACGCGCGCACACAGACGCACACACAGACGCACGCACACACACAAACATAATTAGTACTTCAAAGTTTGATTTTAGTGTTTTAAATAAACGTCCCGTTTTTATTTTATTTTAAGCAAAGTGTACGATTGTCTCAATCACAGGATCCACTAAAATAACTTTTAAGCAATAAAAATGTCAGATTAAAAATAAATCCATTAATTTTTTAGTCTGTTCATATATATCTATTTCAGTTTCTGTCTGTCTGTTTGTCTCTCTCTGTCTCTGTCTGTCTGTCTGTCTGTCTGTATGCCTCTCTCTCTCTCTCTATATATATATATATATATACACACACACACACACACACACACACACACACACACACACACACACACACACACACACACACACACACACACAGGGTGCGTTGGATAAATTATCATCTAAATTACGCAAAAATGAAAATAACACTGACATCTTATTTTAATAGATATATTTAACAAAATTACACAAAAATTTAACAAAATAACTTGAAAACTTGTAAATTTATTCAATAAAGTCGCCATTGGCTTCAACAACGGCTTTCATACAGCTTTGGAATCTCCTGCATCTGTTCTGTATGGTCTCCTTGTTGGTGAATGCTGCCATAATCCTTGACTTCTGTTCATTTTTTTGTATTACAGTAAGTTTTGTTGGTTACTCGCTCAACTGCGTCGTATACATAATAATCAAGGGTGTTGTAGTCTGGGGGTTAGGTGACCAGATGTAAGGGGTAATGTGGTCATAGAAACTATCTGACAGCCGTGACTGAGTTCTCCTGTCTGTGTGGCATGATGCAGAGTCCTGTTGCCACACACAGTGTCTTCCAGTAGCCACCCTCTTTACTCACGGCAGCAGTACCTACTCAAAGCATTTGATGGAGGCCTCGGTGTTGAGTCTGAGGCCCTGTGGGAAGAGGAATGGAGGTTTTAACATCTCGTTCGTAACCACCATTAGACTCTCCCAACTCTTTCCAAATCCTCTACATTCTCCTCAGATTGACACTCAAACACTCTGAAATGCTTGTATTGGAGCTTTATAGTGCGAATGCCAAGCAGTACAGCATGCCGTTTCAAGTTTCTGGCGGAGTGAATTGCGTCATCGTCGTCTTTTTCTCACCTAACTGACCCTACCATACTGTGTAATCAACAAACTCCAAAACACACAATGTGCATGCGCGAAATTAAAAATATAAAATGGTGTCAACTTACCCATCACACCTCATATATCATCTCTCTCTCTCTCTCTCTATATATATATATATATATATATATATATATATATATATATATATATATTGAGAGAGAGAGATATATATATATATATATATATATATATATATATATATATATATATATATATATATATATATATATATAAAAATGTAGGTAATTACACTCGTCTCGAAAACCTTCGGTTTCTTGATTTGCTAATGATCAAATCAATTTCGAAGGAAAAAAAAGTTTTTAAAAAGAAAGAGCTAGGAACATGAACGTCTGTCGAAAATAATCGTACAGCATACAGGTCCAAAGAAAAAATTTCTCAATACAAAAGTAGAGCAGATCTTGTCAAACCTAGAGAGCCAGACAAACTTACCAATGTTTCACCTAAGCGGATCGTCAGGGAAGGTGCCAGCTTTCCCTGACGATCCGCTTAGGTGAAACCTTGATAGGTTTGTTTGGATATATATATATATATATATATATATATATATATATAATTTAATAACTGTATTTTGGCAGCAATCCCTCTTTTATACAATTTTCGTTAAAACGACTGACAAAGAACTGTTCCAAATCCAATTAATCGTTCATACTTTGATACTTTCCTTGTTTAAAATATAGATTGCTGAAAATTTTCTATATTTATGCATGAAGAGGGCATAATATTGTAGTGAGAGCCTGTCTATCTATCTATCTATCTATCTATCTATCTATTTACGTCTGTTCTTATCTGACACTTTTATTTCGAATTGCACAAATACCGAATGCTTTGTTTTTTTTCATTTTAGTTTACACTTTTGATCTCTAAATATTCAGTGTCCGTTGTCTTTCCGCTGGCTTTTCATTTCTGATTAATGACTAGAATTATTGCCATTGTGCTTTAAAAAAGGAGAGTCAATCTAGTCAATAATTTGATAGGCCTGATTTAGTTTTAATTGACTTCTTTTTTCCATTCTTTTCATTTTTTTTTCCTTTTTCCCCTCTTTTTCTTTTTCTCTTCTTCTTTTGTTTTCCACCTTCTTCTGTTTTTAATTTTTTTACTCTTCTTTTTCTTTTTTCTACTTCTCCTTTTTTCTTTCCCCTTTCTTCACCTTTTCATTTTTTCCACTTATTTTTCTTTTTTCTACTTCTCCTTTTCCCCTTCTTCTTTTTCTTTTTCCCGCTTTTTTTTTCTACTTCTCCCTTTTCCCCTTCTTCTTTTTCTTTTTCCCGCTTTTTTCTTTTTTCTACTTCTCCTTTTTCCCTTCTTTTTCTTTTTCCCGCTTTTTTCTACTTCTCCTTTTTCCCTTCTTCTTTTTCCCGCTTTTTTCTTTTTTTTTACTTCTCCTTTTCCCTTCTTCTTTTCTTTTCCCTTTTTTCTACTTCTCCTTTTCCCTTCTTCTTTTCCCTTTTTTTTTTTTTTCTACTTCTCCTTTTCCCCTTCTTCTTTTTTCTTTTCCCGCTTTTTCTTTTTTTTCTACTTCTCCTTTTTCCCTTCTTCTTTTCTTTTCCCTTTTTTCTACTTCTCCTTTTTCCCTTCTTCTTTTTCCCGCTTTTTTCTTTTTTCTACTTCTCCTTTTTCCCTTCTTCTTTTTCTTTTTCCCGCTTTTTTCTACTTCTCCTTTTTCCCTTCTTCTTTTTCCCGCTTTTTTCTTTTTTCTACTTCTCCTTTTCCCCTTCTTCTTTTTCTTTTTCCCGCTTTTTTCTTTTTTCTACTTCTCCTTTTTCCCTTCTTCTTTTTCTTTATCCCGCTTTTTTCTTTTTTCGTCTCCTTTTTCCCTTCTTCTTTTTCTTTTTCCCGCTTTTTTCTTTTTTCTTCTTCTCCTTTTACTTTTTCCACTTCTTTTCTGTTTCCCTTCTTCTCTTTTTTCTTTTTTCTTCTTTTTCTCCCCCTCCCCTCCTTCTCCTTCTTCCGAAAACAATATCATTATGTGTTTAAGGAGACGCTAAGTACAGGCTATCTGTAGCTAGTATATTTAATATTGTCGTATCACTTGAATATTAATATTAGAGATTTTACAACTACATATGTACGGTACATAATGAACATAGAGTCAATATTAAACGGTACCAATTCTACCAAAATTAGTTATTTAACCAGCTATCCTTCTTTACGGCGGCAGATTTTGGGCGATTTCCTCAAAGATGAAGAAAGAGACTCGAAGCGACAGAGATGTGGTTCTATAGAAGGATGCTAAGGATATCATGGGCCAAGCAATAATGAGATCTTAGAGAGGTTGCAAACAAAGGAGGAGGCTTATACTTAATATCAGAAAGAGGCAGATGAATTTTCTGGCATACATAATGAGGAAGAAGGGCCTGGAGAATCTGATACTCACGAGTCGAATAGAGGGAAAGAGAGACAAGGGAAAACAACACGTGACATACCTGGCGGACTTAAGTAAGTGGATGACAGAACATGGTCTGGGGGAGGAAGCAGAGGGAAGGAACTTATTGAGAGCTGCAAGGAATAGAGGGAGGTGGAGAGCCATGATCGCCTACGTCCTGAAAGGACATGGAATATAAAAAGAAAAGAAGTTTAATCTCATACAACAGAGAGAATCAAATTTACTCATAAGCGATTATCCTGTCAATTGCCAAACATAACACTACGGTAGGCTCCCACAGAGCTATAAAGCGCACTAATATTTTTACTGACACTGGCTCACGTTTGTAGTTGAAGTTATTCATTCTATAGCGTATAATAAATCTTCGATCATATCCAAATTTTAATATTCAAATATATATTTTTTTATTATCGGCTTGTATTATAAAATTGATCTATTTATAACCGTACATTTTTAAAGTCTACTGTAAACAAGATAGTTCCCCATTTCAAATTTTAATTAATCAACAACTATGAAAAAATCAATTTTTAATTACTGTGTTTGAACTGAAGTAATCGAATATTATGCATGAACTAATCGAATTTTAGTATAAAACATTTTAGCGCGCTAATCGAAAACGCATTAATCGAATGTGCATTAATCGAGGGATTCCTGACCCAATAACCAAAAAACAACATTAAAATTTGTCAACACATGCACCACACGGTTTCCTCTTCCTTAGGTTAACTTAACGGAACTTAGTACACTTCGTGCACATATCTATCATTGCGTTGTAAACAACCAAAATACAGCCATTGACATAAGACTAACGTTAGTAGTTGATACCAAAATATTACATTGCACTGTAAATAAAGAATCAAAATACATGAAGCTATTATTATACAAAGGAAATAATCTGAATTAAATATTTTTCACCACATGAGAAGGCATTTCATTTTATAATGCTTCTAAAATATTCATAATTGTTGTAGCATTACGGATGATAATGGGTATGTCCCCATTCACATAAATACAGTAGTAAATACTGTATGTTGGAGATATATTGGTCTGCCTCCGGGTAGAGAGGATCCCTAGACAAGGCTATGTCGAAGGGCAGAGTCTCGTCTCGTGAAACAGCTATCCGACCCCGTTTTATACGGGATCTACGGGGAAATTTTAGCCGAGCTTACGGGCTCGGATACCCCACATTAAATTCGGCCTTGTGCCATATCTGTCTGCGTGGGGCGGTTGGTAGATATCCTGCAGTTGGAAATTCATTGCGGAATTCACTTGACTCACTTCTAGCAGTTGACTACTTCGCCACTGGCGAATCATATATGTGTTGTTCTTGTCTTAAATATTATCGTTCATTACCAACCTTCGTTTGATTATTGTATTCAGTAATTTCCCCTAGGTTACAGTAGTAATATGTATAAAATACCGAATATACTCATTTGTTGTTGTCAAGCTATGTGAAACCGTTGTACACATGATATCACTTATCCGATACACGTATATCTGAATCTGAAATGTAACGTTCCTCTGAAAAATGCTAGGATAAAGCGAACAAACTCCTGTCTACGATGTATGCAATATTTAGTTGCTGATAATCACAGGTACGATCGAATGTACTCGAAACAAAAAAGAGGCTAAAACGTGAAATTCATCCACAATTTTAATCCGAATAGGCAACAACAATTTCGAAAATTAGTAAAATTCAATAAATAATTAAATAGGCTGGTCTTGTCAATTGAATTTAATACAGCTAGTTTAACTGAATTCTTAGTGCCTAAATGTACATACATATATATTTTTTCTTTAAAAAACAGTTTATAATGATATATTTTTGATAAAATTTCAGTAACTACATTGCATATATACTTTTAATTTGACAAAAAGTAAGAACTCAACTATATAAAAAATATACGACAGCATTAAATGTTTTCGTCAATAAAACCACAACCTACATTAATTATTTCTTTACAAATTCATAGCATTCTTTGCAACAGTATTTGAAAAAAATGTAGATGGCAGACCTCCTCAAGCATTCTTTAAGCACTGAAAAAGCTCATTCTCACGCTTTGAGTATTCTCTTCGGACACTCCTATCCAATTCATCCCATACTAATTCAATATTTAAGTCATAATTTCCAAAATTTTGTTCCTTTTTTTTTCACTCATGATAATTTTGACATAATTTAGATGAGTGTTTTGGATCGGTGTCTTGTTGAAAGCTGAACATTTTTTTCAATTATGCGTAAACCAGATGCTATAGAATGTCTTTGCAAAATCAAATGATATTGTTCTTTTTCATGGTTCTCTTGACCTGAATCAAATGTGTAGCCCTCTCTCCCAGAAAACACCACCACACCCTGCTTAAATGTTGGAACCACATCGTTCAGTCATTCACCTGTTTTTTTTTATCACATACACTCTCCCCTTGCTAACAAATAGTACAAATTTGGATTCGTTTGTTCAAAATACATTTGCATTTCTTTCAATGTTCAGTTCTTATGCGTTTTTTTTGCCCACAACAGTCTTTTTTTCTTATTCACCTTCCATAATAGGGATTTCTTGATGAGCACTGAGCCCAACTGATCTAAGTCGATCATTCACAGTTAAGAGAGACACTGATCGCTGTTGAGATGAATTAAGTTCAACTGTCAAGTTGGAGCGGTTTTTTTCTTTTTCTTTTGCTCACAATAATCATGTGTTTATCTACAATAGGAGTTTTGGGGCGCTAGCTCTTTTTCTGTCAACATGTTGAGCTGTTTCTGTCTGCCTTTATAACGAATATTGCCCCCCCCCCCAAGCCTAGAAATCTTCAACTTCTTGGCAATTTGCCTTTTAGTGTAGCGATCTTTGAATAAAATTTCAACTTGTGTCCACACCTCAAGGCTCAGCTGCTTTAATTGTGCGAATATTTATATAAACTTGACAAATTTTCCAAGTGAATATAACGAACCAGATTGGAATTCAAACACTGCTCTCCGATTTCTCATTCAGAGCGGTTATCCATTACACACTCGCGCATTCAACCTTACAGCATATGATATTCCCAACTGGTCACTCAGCTAGTTACTGACCAGGTTCGACGTTGCTTAAAATTCAGTGATTGGTATTTCCCAAACGTAAACCAGATGCTATAGCATGTCTTTGCAAAATCGAATGATATTATCTTTTTTCATGATTCCCTTGACCTGAATCAAATCTCCAGGTCTCTCCCCCCCAAATACCCCCCCATTCATAAGAGACCCACCATCATGCTTAATTGTTGGAGCCACCTATTCATCATTCAATCGTTCTCCTGGTTTTCCTTTAACATACACTCTCCTCTTATTACAAATAAGTTCAAATTTCTTTCAGTCTGTCCACAATACATTTAGTCACTCATTAAATGTCCAGTTATCACGCTTTTTTTTTCCATAACAATCTTTTCTGCTTATTCACCTTCTGTAACAGTGATCGCTAAGCAACCCCTGAACCCCGCTGATCTAAGTTTAACTCCTCACAACTGATTGCTGTTGAGAGGAATTAAGTTCAGCTCTCAACTCTGGAGCAGTTTTCTTTCTATCTCTTTTGCAAAACATTGTTGATTTATTTGAGATGGAATAATCTATCATGACCTAACTTATGACCATTTTCTAACTTATATTTATATACATAATTCATTATTTTCAGTTTTTCTAACTGAATTGGTCACCTATATTGCACATGGTCTACTATTGTACACAATTAGGTTACAATGAAATTTATATTTTATATGAATACTACGTTATGTAAACTGAGATGTAGTAGAATGGGAGGGTACCTGTATCATAGGTTGTGGGGGGGGGAGAGTGCATGAGACCCTTTCACCAGTCCTGATGCTGAGAATACCATGGATGGAGTGAGTAACAAGAAAGTTTTAAGGAAGATGGGAACAAAAGGACACTTATACTTAGAATTAGAAAGAAACAGTTGAAATTTCTGGGTCACATGATAAGGAAAGAGAGCTTGGAGAGTTTGACACCCACTGGACATTTTGAAGCCAAGAGTGAATAACCTACCTGACAAGCTGGTATTAATGGATTGCAGAAGAAGGACTGGAAGGAATAGTAAAAAGATGGATATTTCTAAGTGTTACAATGGATTGTTAGGCAGATTGACAACTAAGGTTAAAGAGCTTTTATCTGGCCATTAGCAAGGACGTGCGTGCAATGCAATGAAAAGAGAAATTGACAAGCCAATAGTATGATCTATTATGGCAGGTCTCTAATTTGTATTTTAGATACATTGTATTTATTTTCATTTTTTTTCTAGTTGAATTGTTCACCGATAATGCACGTGATCCATTATCTCTATCTATAAAAGGTAGGATGTGTGTGTGTGTGTGTGTGTGTGTGTGTGTGTAACGAATGCACGGCCGCAATTTTCGACGGATTTGCACCAAAATTTACATGCACATGCTCCAAGTTAGCGAGAAGGCCAAGACCGACTTTGCATTTCCCAACTCCCATCGATAGTGGAAATAATCGATTTTTCATGCCTCTACGGCAATTTTCAATTAGTTTGCGGCCATTTTCTACTGGCCAGAATGAGAGCCTATAGCTGGCTGCCATGAATAGGCAGGAAGATTCTATTGGCCAGCGTGAGAGACAACAGCTGACTGACACGAATGTTAACTAGCATGATAGCATGCAAATAAAAATCGATAGCTGCATTCGTCACATTTGGAAAAATTTAATTCTGCATGGCACTTTACTCCAATTGGCTCATTCGCTTGCTTAAACTCAATGTTGATTCTGATTCCGCAGAATTGGGTTGGGTGTGAAAAAGTATTTGTTGTTAACATTCTTTTTTCATTCGGTTTTTTCAGTTACGAGTCCTTTTTTTAAAAGCTGATCGTTTTGTGTTCATTTTGTTTAGTTCTTTTTTCGTAACAGATTTAATGTTTAGTATAGAGCTTAGAAAAAATTCGCAGTGTGAGATAGGCAAGAAGTAAGGCATGTAGCAACATCAGCACGGCAAAGGGCACTCCTTTAAAGGCAAGGAAGGGCAAAAATATTTTAAGTTAAGTGATAGCGATTGCTGTATGAGTCGTACGATTTTTGAATCATGCACGGGCAACGCTAGGCCATGCTGCTAGTTGTACATAATTAGATTACAATAAAGTTTATATTTTGTATGAATACTACTTTATGAAAATTAGGATGTAGTAGAGTTGATGATCCGTATAATACATTCGGTCGGGGACGTATCATAGATTTCGTTTGGTCACGAGACTCTTACGCCGGCCCTAGATTCATTTAAACAAGTTTTCTTAAAAGTGTTATTAAATTTATGCGACAAAGGCTGTCTGTTTATTTTTTTTACTAGAAAAGACTAAATATTCTATCTATCTATCTATCTATCTATCTATCTATCTATCTATCAGGATTAACCTGTAGAAAAAGACAATAGGAAAATTATTTAGTAATTGACGTAATTTTTCAGTTGACTATAGGAATATACAATAGCGTTTATAAATTCTTCTTGTTGCTAACGACATTTTGTTTGTTGTTCATAGATACATTGTTTCAATAAATTCATTTCGTTTTTTGTCTTGAAAAAGTCCACATTTGACGAAACGCGTCGGCTAAATCTACAGTTTACTATTCTCTTTTTTCCTTTATACCCTAACCCTATCTAGTCAATAAATTCATAACCTTTCAAATGACTTACGTTGTGACCAACTTTCAAAGTTTTGTGGACACACCGCTCACAAGGGTCAGATAAATCAATTAAATTATTACCAGATATCGTATTTATATATTAGATATGAAACGCTAACCAAAAACGTCAAACAAATTTTTAATTTGAAATTTGTACTATGCGAAATGTTTTTAGCAACGTGACGTTTAAATATTCAAAATCATTATAAAATTACAATGTTAAAGTTAACACACACACAAACACACACAAACACACACACACATATAAAGATTGTTATATATATATATATATATATATATATATATATATATATATATATATAATATATCACCCCATGCGAGGCAGTAAAGCCAACAAGACACAAGGGGTTACTGAGTGTGAAAGGGGTTACTGAGAAAAAAAGAGAACATTATTAAGGAGCGAGAACAATAGAAGAAGTGTAATCAAGAAGAAAATAGATAACGATTGGCGTTACATTTAAATTTTTGAAAATCAAAGTTGGCTGGAATGCATGGAGCCAGAAGAAAGCCATAAATTCGACAAAAATATTCGTTAGGATAGAGTTTACGGATAGTCAATTCATCTGTGAATCTGTGAATTGTTGAGACCTTACCGCCAATCGAAGACTGCGCTTAAATTCATAAAGTCTAGGTGCCGTAGCGTAGAGTTCATCCAAACAATTACCATGAAAATATTTACAGGAAAGACACAGGTAAGCTATATTACAGCGTGGGAAAGTGACTGAAGCCGAGACGCCAGATCTGGATCAATAATATAGCTTATTCTTCTTTGGATTTTACCAAGAATCTTTAAATATACAACAGAAGCACCAGACCATATGTGGCAGTAATATTCAAAGTATGTCCGAATGGAAGACTTATAAAAATATTTCTTTCTTATATAAACGTATTTTCCTTCTTAATATATATATATATATATATATATATATATATATATATATATATATATATAAGAACGAAAACTTTGTAATCCGTATGGATAATCCCAAGGTGGATGAAATTCTGAGAGCTCAATGTTAATTCAGAGTGAATAATTTAAAGAAAAACAGACCACTTTAAGGCTCCATTGTAATAATTTATTTCACTAGAGCCTTTTATTTTTCCCTTGATCTTCAGACATTACTTTCAAAAGGTGAAACGAAAAATGAAATTAAAATTTACACTTTTGACGGGCAGTATTAATATTATATAAGTTGACATAGAAGGTAGCGAGGGATGGTGTGAGAGACATGTCGATTTTAATCTGTCAACTCAACTGAAATGATATGGGGAGGAAAAGGAGGAAAAGGGAAAAGGGGAAGTAAAGAGAAAAGATACATATATATATATATATATATATATATATATATATATATATATATATATATATATATATATATATATATGAGTATTTTGGAAGCATGTTTTCTATATTCAGAGTATGAATGTTGATACCATTACTGAAGTCCTGAATGATCTTTTTCCTTCCGGCATTGCCCAGTTGGGAAACGATTTTAACCTCACTGAATAACTCAAAGGGCTTTTCAATGATTCTTACGACAAATGGTCTTAAGATGGCTAAATGCTTTATCTGAAAAACTGTAAAAAAGAAACTCAATTAGTTTAGTGTTTTTTTAGATATTAAAATTTTGTGGGATGGACAATCATTCCATGCTGTTACACATTTGGACAATTTGGCTGTTACACCGATTATATCTATCTATCTATCTATCTATCTATCTATCTATCTATCTATCTATCTATCTATCTATCTATTTAATTATGCTATATCTGAGTCTGTTCTGAATATCTATCTATCTATCTATCTATCTATCTATCTATCTATCTATCTAAGTCTATTCATCATATCTACCGATTTATTTAATTTGGTATATCTGAGTCTGTTCTGAATATCTATCTATTTATCTGTCTATCTATCTATCTATAAACACTAGTATACATTATTCAACCATTCATATATATATATATATATATATATATATATATATATATATATATATATATATTTTTAACGATGGTTTATACCTTTTTCTTCTTTGAATAAATCATTTACACATAATTCTATGCTTGTGAACAGAAACGAACACAGTGTCGGGTTTTAAAAATGAAACTAATTTTGTTCCACTTTTGGAATTTAGAAATACCCATTCTTCTTATAATTATCATCTTTGTCGTCACTTTAATAACAGATCCTCCTTTTTTTTTCAATACGTACTTTGGGTTTCATCCAATTAAATTTAAGTGGTAATGACGTTGGGAAGGTCGTGTTACACAATTTTTGATAATACAATCTTTGATAATACTCTGAGTTCAAGCTGATCCTCAAACTATGGTACGTGCCTATTGACTTATTTAGTAATTTCTTTTTGTGTTTTTTTTTGCGTTGAAATGTTTCTGGCCTGACTAAAATGAAAAAGAAAAAAATCTGATGTTTAGCCGAATTTTGCGAAGTAGGTCTTGCCGAGAACTTTTCAACGTCCCTTCATACATACATATATACATACATACATACATACATACACATATGTAAATGTCATTCTGATTCATTTGACTAGTTTTGCTTTTTTAATCGCTGTCATCATCATCGTTGTTGTTGTTTTTGTTGAACAGGGTGTCGAAAAGGAGAGAGCTGATTTCACGCGAAAAGCTGAGTGATATACAGTCAGTGGTGGACCTTGACAAATGGCAACCGGCTTTACCTCTTGTGAAAAACTAGATCTGTAAAGCGAAGAAAATGACAGGAAGAGGAGAAGGCAGTGGAAGGAAGAGAAGGAAGTGGAGGAAGAGGGATTAGAATAAGTAGGAGGGAAAAGAACCTGGTGTTTTTTTGTACTTAGAGGTTTTGACGAAACACAAGAAGATCGAAACAACAGCAAGGAACATAATAACATTTCTTCAGGGAAAAAAGGAACAAAAGATATATAAATAGATAAATACAATGATATATATATATATATATATATATATATATATATATATATATATATATATATATATATATATATGTGTGTGTGTGTGTGTGCGTGTGAAAAATATATGGAAAATAGGAAAGAACTCGTTAGGTAAATAATCCAAAGTTCTTTAGTATTTTGTTATTATTTTTTAAAAATAGTGCTCGGATACAAAAGTAGAGCATAAATATAATTATTTATTTAAAAATACGATTCCAACACGCTACATAAGAGTTCTCATGTTTCAAAACAAGAGCCGAAAAATTCAATATAATTATTTGAATAATAATTGAATTAAAGTACTTAAATTTAATTCAAATAGTTATATTGAATTTTTCGGCTCTTGTTTTGAAACATGAGAACTCTTATGTAGCGTGTTGAATAATATTTTGTTTCATATATATATATATATATATATATATATATATATATATATATATATATATATATATAGAGAGAGAGAGAGAGAGAGAGAGAGAGAGAGAGAATGAATGAATCAGATTTATCGACATCTTTGAAATTATCAGAGAAAGAATACCTAGTTTCGAATATCTCTGTTTACAGTTACCTTTGTTGGCATTTAGTACTTTGGCATTAACATAAGAACTAATATTGAATTTCGGCGAATATTAAATATAGGCGAATAGTGAATATAGGCAAATAGTGAATATAGGTGAATTGGTTTATAAAGGAAACAGAGCAACATATCCATATATATTTATTGTATTTTTTACGTTATATATTTATTGTTCTATATGTAGATTTATTGTATTTTTTTACCTAGAGTTTTGGCACAAGGCCAAAGAAAAAGTTGGGTGAAGCTGGTCGTCATTGACTATACTAAACTTAGCTAATCTGATTCGCAACTCATTTGTTCGTTACAGTTAACTCATCCACCACTAGAACACATCCCTCTTCACCCAATCCTAGATTAACCAAAATCGCGTTTCCAGAGGAACCTCCTGAAACCCCATGATGTAAAAATTTATGGATATTTACAATTTTATTTTTATTAAATTATTTTTATCATTTTTCTTTTTACAAAAATATAAAAATTATGTATCATGAAATGAAGTGCAGTGGTGATTTTCATAAGGAAAATAAAAAAAAACCAAAAAAAAACCAACCAAATATTCAAACTAAAACAAAGTTATATTAGTAGAACCCGTGTACCCCATAGGAAAATAAAGAGTAGCTGCTGTATTCTGTCGATAGGCAAAATCAAGACTTTCAACCACTAAAGACGAGAAAAGGAGAAAATAAATTTTGGTGTTGGGGAAAAAACAGTCAAGATTAAAAGCAGATAAAAAGAAATTAATATCTGTTATATGAGCAAATAGAAAACACTGAGAGAGCGCATATCTCTGCCAACACTATTGTCAATATAAACTAAAGAACTAGGCCGCAGCTTCCAAACTACAACGTGCCAAAACCCTGTAAGACTAATTCATCATAGACGTATAAATGAAAACAGAAAGACAAATATGAGTGAACTAGCAGCATGGTCCGGCGTTGCCCGTGCTTGATTCAAAAATCGTACGACTCATACAGCAATCGCTATCACTTGACTTAAAATATTTTTGCCCTTCTTTGCCTTTAAAGGAGTGCCCTTTGCCAAGCTGATGTTGCTACATGCCTTACTTCTTGCCTATCTCACACTGCGAATTTTTTCTAAGCTCTATACTAAACATTAAATCTGTTACGAAAAAAGAACTAAACAAAATGAACACAAAACGATCAGCTTTAAAAAAGGACTCGTAACTGGAAAAACCGAATGAAAAAAGAATGTTAACAACAAATACATTTTAACATCCAACCCAGTTCTGCGGAATCAGAATCAACGTTGAGTTTAAGCAAGTGAATGAACCAATTGGAGTAAAGTGCCATGCAGATTTAAATTTTTCCAAATGTGACGAATGCAGCTATCGATTTTTATTTGCATGCTAGCATGCTAGTTAACATTCGTGTCAGTCAGCTGATGGCTCTCACGCTGGCCAATAGAATCTTCCTGCCTATTCGTGGCAGCCAGCTATAGGCTCTCACTCTGGCCAGGCGAAAATGGCCGCAACCTACATGAAAACTGCTGTAGAAGCATGAAAAAATTGATTATTTCCACTATCGATGGGAGTTGGGAAATGCAAAGTCGGTCTTGGCCTTCTCGCTAACTTGGAGCATGTGCATGTAAATTTTGGTGCAAATCCGTCGAAAATTGCGGCCGTGCATTCGTTACACACACACACACACACACACACACACACACACACACACACACACACACATCCTGCCTTTTATAGATAGAGATACATAAACTCTATCCATCGTTGCTGGCAAAAGTAACAATCTGATGAGGAACACAAGTAATTTTTCAAACCTCAAATGTTATAATAATGGAAAATCAGTTTCTATTTCCTATACAGATACGCTACAGAAGGTATATATGAAACCATCGATTTTGGACTGTTATTTTAATATACAGGGGTCTGCAAAAGTAGACATATAGTCTGTTCGCTGGATCTCCCTCCTATGGAATCCTGGGTATGACGATAAACTACAACCGGCAAAGCTTCTGATCGGTAGATTGGGGGGGTTTTGAGGAGGGTAGAACCACGTCGTAATTGTTGTTCTTTCCAGGTCCACCCTGACCAGGGGTGGTATCGCCTGTTAGGGTTCCAGTTATGGGCAAAGAGTGAACCTTCGAACATAAACACTATGAAAGTGTAACAATAGATTTTTATAGTAAAAATACCAGCAATACATTTTTATATAAAAAATGAGCAGCAATACATTTTTAAAGCAAAATGACCAGCAATTATAGTAGAATTACTAACAAGACATATTTATAACAAAATGGCCAACAATACATTTTATCTGTAGTTGAAAGCATACAACTACGTTCAAAATATATTTAGTTGAAGCCATAAAATTGTGTACAAAATATTTAGATTTCGGTTTTAAATAACCCATAGAGGTGTTGATATGCCGCTAAACAAAATCAACCAACCAACAAACACTCCTATGAATTTGTTTTACTGGGGAGGCGTAAAGGATATATATTTTGCTTTTCATTGCTATATACCTACTTTTGCACACCTGCATATTTCAATTGAAAAATTCTTAGAACCGACCCAAAGCTTAATTACTTGTCTCATGGCCTACATTTTAAGAAAATGTCGTTGAAAGTCTTTGAGAAATGTTGGAAATAATGAATGGAGAAACACAAGTATTGATGACTATCTTATCTTCGTCCAAAGTCGTTAGCGGAAGTAATTATCAATTGCGAGCATCGTCGTATTAAGATTGTTACACCTCGTGAATTCTCAAGCGTAGCTTAGATGTGGCACAAGGATGAAAGTATGGAGCACCCAGTGAAGATCGAACTCACTATTCAGTCATAATTGTTCTAGTGAGACAATCATTAAGTCGCCTCAAAGTGTGCTACTGTTACATCTATAGCAACCTATATTTACGAACATTCCTATGTATATAATTGTGACTTTTTTTGTAAATTCTACTTGTCCTATCCACGGGTGCTTTCAAGAAATATTACGATGGTAAATTGTATTTCTTTTCGTTTACATTAAATTTGACTTGAAATGTAATGTAAATATGCCAGTTTGCAACGATTGAAATTCATTTATATTACATTTAAAACAATAAAACTTCCCATTGCTTTTTTTTAAAATTAAAAGAATCTTTATCGTTATTTTCCATTATTTTATATCTGAAAAAAAAAAGAGATTATATCTCTTCGACATGGATACCAGTAAAATACTGTTTCAAAAAGGAACATTCCGCTAAAATAAAACGAATTTATTATATTGGCGGAGAATATCATGATTTTTCCACTTGTCAACAGTTCGTAACTTCATATTTAAAACTTTGCAAATGTCTCTAATTTTATAATCGGGACATTTAATGTTAGATGACATGTGTGAAAA